GGGTGGTGACAAAATCGGGGCGAACGGGCACAGAAGGGGCTCCTGGGGGAGCTGCCCTCAGCCCCGGTGCCCCCAGCCCGCCCTGCTGCCCCCTTCCCTCCTCCCAGCGCCTGAACCCCAAACACGCGCTGTGGATGCTTGCCAACAGCTGGTTTGACTTAAATGTCTGCAGTTTTGGGGCATTAGGAGATATACGTTTTGTGGCGGAAGGATGGATAGCAGGAGAAATACTCATTTCACGTTTGCAGAGTAGATATGTAGTTGTTTTTTTGGTTCAGTGTGTTCTTCCTTGCCACTCCTCATGGTAATGACTTCTTCTAATTCCAGCTCCCTCTTGTCCGCCTTCATCCCCATCAACCTGCTGCCCGAACTTTCTTTGACAGTTCCCCATCACTGTTTTCTCCATGTGATTGTCATGCCACTCTTCAGTTCTTTTTACTGTTTTTGTCTTCCATCATCTTCTGATAAATGCCAGAGCACTCATCAGTGTCTCTTATTCTTTCCCATGAGGCAGTTCCCCAGAATGTTTTTCACAAAAACTGGAGGAAGTAATAGAGTGAAAACTTCTGTCTCCTGTAACACCAGTTACAGCTGTAAGTCAAGGTGGAGGAGTAGGTTTTGTACAAGGAGTAGGTTTTGTATGTGTGTAATACAGATAAAGTAACTTCTGTGAGAAGTAGAGATGTCTGCCTTGGACCTGGTTGGCACTTGTTCATCCCATGGACTGTTACAGAGTCTCTCCCTTTAGGAAGGGAGGTTCTTAGAAAATTGAGTTAAAATTTTAAATAAAATTACTTAAAAAGCTCAAAGTTCACCTTTCTATTAGTGAACAAGGACCAGGTAGTCCCAGCTGCTAAAAAATCAAGGCTTAAATTATCGTACTGGCCAACTTCAACCAAATTTGGCATTGTAGGAAAAATCTTGAAGGAGAGCATCTCTGAGTTTGTGAATTGAATGCCTGGATGAAAGGGAGACTCAAGTTAATGCTGTCGTGACTCTTTGGCTGTATGTTCTGTTCCACCTCTGTGGCGGGCAGGGTCAGGATGCTGTTCAGGGTTTTTCCTCTTTAGCTGGAGCAGGTCTCTGATCCAGTTCACCATGTGCTGCACAAATGCTTGTAGCCATGTTGCCTGCAGATGTGGCTGAGCAGCTGGGGAGTTGCTCGGGTTGGCATTGCCACTGAGGAAATGCACATACAGCCAGAGCCCTAGAAGAAAAAAGTTACTGAAGCAGGGGCTCAACAATTAACGGTTGTTTGGTCTTCGGGATGGTCAGCTGTATGGCATTTTGCCTGATGGTAGTTAGGACACATAAAAGGAGCATGAAAAACTTGAGGGGGTGGTGGCTGGAGGATAGGAGAAGAAAGGGCATGAGTGGACTTGATGGGGTGGGATGAGAAACAAAGGGGCCATTATGAATTTGGATAAGAGCAGGAATTGTGCTTGGGAGTGAGGGGCACAGGGCACAGATCTGTACAGAATCAAGCATCATTACTTTCAACTGAGTGAGATGACTCCTAATATTTTTTATGTCCCTGGCAGTTAGTCAAAAAGTATTGGAGGATGGTGGCTATAACATCCTTGGGTTCAGTCACAGGCCTGGTGAGGCTGAGGCTGTGGCTCCAGCAGCCTTCCCAGAACGAGCAGCCACCTCTGTTCAGGCTCTTGTGCTGCTCCTTGCACCGTGCTGGTGCAACCATGTGCATGACTGCCCGATGAACTGGGAGAGTGATCTAGTGGAAAATGAGCGTGGGGAACAGGGAAAAGAGATAGAGGTTGCTTCAGCAGCTCAGTTGCACAACTAGAGCTTGAAGGAAGCCACTTAAGGATTTCCCTCATGGAAAGGGACTCTCCAGCAGCCTTGAGTCCAGAGGAGCTGGAAACAGAACTGAGAATCTGGTCCGGAGGTCTTTCTGTTACTGAAATGTCATATTCTTTAAATAGTTCATTATTGTTACAAGCTCAGAGTTTCTCAGGCTTGACTCTGAGCCAAGATTATTGAATAGGCTAAGGAATTAGGTGACATATGTTGCTAATATTTTTAAAACTAAAAAACCAGGGCATTGATGAGAAATGCATGAGAATGGGAGCTGAGGGGAGGAGAAAGAGAAGGAATATATAGTTATTACTGTGTCTATGTAATGCTTTCCCTCTGAAGCCCAATGTTCCTGTTTAAATGAATGAATCTGCTAGACATTTCAAAGCAAAAGCTTACACTTCCAGTCTTTTACTTTGTAGATAGCTTTATAAATACAAAACTGCATGATAGTTTGTACATGATCAAGAAAAGAAGTGTTGTGTAGGGGAGCTTTTGACCGCTTCTTATGATACTTCTATTTAAACTGTAACAATACAACTTTATGAACATTTAGTTGAATAGTTAAGGGAAGAATAGCTAATATATGTTACTAGATTGTGTTGTCACTAAATCCAAAGTCAATTTCTGTATTGTGTAAGGCATATTTGGGAACATTTGTTTCTGCCCTTCTCTTTCAAAACTGTGAAATAAGTTGGTTTTGCACTAGCCAAACTGGTCTAAAATTAGAATTGATTTGCTTTTGCTTCTGAAGAACGTTTTTCATTCAATCATGTAAGATCGTGTATTTTCACAGTACTTTACCAAGATAAGCATTTTCGGGCTTCCTCTAAAATAAGTAGCGTTCCCTCTTAGTGAGGGCAGTGGGACTTTCCTGGGGCTCTCCTTTGTTCCCAGTTCACTTAATGTGGAGTTTTCAAATGTGAACTACTTAAAAGCATGCTTCAGACTTGCAAAATTGAAACAGATATGTAATTAGTAAGGAAAGAAAGGATCAAATCTAAGGCTTCTGCAGCTTTTGTTCTGCGGTAACTAAATTTTAAACTCCCTTGTCAGAAAGACAGCAAATTCTACGTAATTAAGATGTGAAAAGAAGGTCACTTGTATGAAACCTTAACCTTTAAAGGGTATGGGATGCTCCTGTAGTGGGATGTTGTAAGAGAATGTTGTTGAGTTTGTATATATGCACGTGCAGAGATGAGAAGGTAATGCATACTTAGATCTAAAAATCAAGCTCGGCTCCTGAAGGGAATATCTTTAGATATTGCTACCGTTGATGTTCCTAATGGAGTGATGCATATTTTCGCTAAATGTTTGAAGTGAAAACAGCACCTAAAATAGCTGCCTTAATTCCTGTGGGTGGATGCCGGTATAAGACTTCTGTGTTTTTCTGTTTTTTTTTTTTTTTTTTTTAATTCTGTGATACAAATACTGTTTAAGAAATCAAGTTCTAGCTCAATGTAAGTTGTCACTGTATTGTCTCCTCTCTGTCGGGAGCTGTTTTAAGGGGCAGCAGTTTGAATTCTGCCTTTCCAAATATTTAAATGCCTGTCAACCTCAGCAGAGGCATCGAGTGTTTTTTCTGTTTTCTAACAGCGATTTACTCTTGGTAATTACATTGTCAGAATGTGAGCTGCTCTTCAGCTCTGCATTAGAAAAGTCATGAAACCCTTAATAAAAGTTTTCCCATGGCATGAGCATTGAAATACTGAATTCTTGCCTTTTTATTTATTTAAAGACACAAAGTAAGGAAAATTAAATTCTCAAGTGATCGCATGATTCCCAGAAGTGAGTTTTGACCTCTGAAAGCAATACGCAGACGGACAACTTTTTTATTTATGTGTGTATGAGGCTTTTTAGTGCAACTTTCTCAGTCCCTCTTGTATACTTAATAAATTTCTGTGGAACTGTGAAGAAAAAAAAGTGTTATTTTATGAAGTGCCTAGATGGAGTTGTATTGAATTAGCCTTGTGGCTGAAATATTTCTCAGTACATGGTAAAATGAGATTCTACCTGTTGGTATCATTTTGAGGGGAGGGTTATAAATGAGAAGAGCACTCTTGGTGAAGTATCTTGAGACAAAACTCACTATTTCTTTTGATTTGAGAATCTCTATTCATTAAACTACACAATGCTTTTACTTTATCAGAGCAGAGTTATTCTCTAAACAATGGGAAGTTTGAAAAAAGAACAGCTTTGTGGAACAGTTGAGTTTAAAGCCTCCTTTTCCTTTTCAAAACAGAAAGATGATGACATTGAAGAGGGGGATCTTCCCGAACACAAGAGGCCTCCAGCACCAATAGATTTCTCAAAAATTGATCCAGGCAAGCCTGAAAGTATCCTGAAGCTGACGAAAAAGGGGAAGACTTTGATGATGTTTGTCACGGTGTCGGGAAATCCCACAGAAAAGGAGACAGAAGAAATTACTAGCTTGTGGCAGGGCAGTCTCTTCAATGCAAACTATGATGTGCAAAGGTAAACTGTTGTACGCAAGGGTAAAGTTCTTGCTTTTACAGAATCCTTGTTTCTTTCTTCCTGAAAATCTTTTCAATTGTTCATCCTGTGCCCTTCCCCACCTCCATTGTCTGCCACTATTCCTTTGTTTCTGTATCAGTTTGTATACCAATTTGTTTTAAGTCACTCTACAAAAATTCTGGTGTGGTGCAAAAATCTTTTTAACACTTATGGATGATGTCTGTATAGCCTAGTTTCTTTTTATCTCATTACGTTTCAGCTATTTATCAGTTTTAGCTGCAGTAGTTTGCCTTTATGTACTTGATGGAAAACATCACACTTGGAAGACTTGTCACTACAAAAGGCTTTTTGTTCCCCTCGCTAAAAAATGTGGTTTTTCTCTCAGAGAGAGAGGATTATTTTGAAACAGAGGAATGTTGTGCTCTTGAATCAAGGCTGAGAAGTGTTGCAGCAAGTGTTTAAAGCAAATTTAATGCCCATTAGTGGATTTTACATAGTGCCAAATTAGTTCTTAAGTTTTCTTCGTATTCTTACTCCTCCTTGGTTATTTGTAAACTTACTACATTTTATTATTATTTGTGGTAGAAAATTGTGCTCTTGTCCCCTTCCCCAGGCAGCAACAACAAGACCAACTTCTTGCTCTTAAATGTATCCCTCAGTTGTGGAGGTGCTCTGAATTAAGCAAAATGTTGTAGCACTTAAAAGGCACGGAGCTAACTGAAAAAATACGTATCTTTCCTCTAGGTTTATTGTTGGCTCAAATCGTGCCATCTTCATGCTACGTGATGGCGGTTATGCCTGGGAGATCAAAGACTTTCTGATAAACCAAGAAAGGTGTGCGGATGTTACTCTGGAAGGTCAGGTTTACCCTGGCAAAGGAGCAGAAGAAAGTGAGAAAGTGAAAAACAAAACAAAACCCGAAAAAGCAAAGAAGAAAAAAGACGGAGACAAGAAATCTAATAGCATCAAAGAGGACAACCGAGCAACCAAACAGAGAGAGGATCTATGACGGACATGTTAACCAGACTGAATCCTGCTCTGCTGTTCCTTGAGGGGAAACTAAATTTCCACACAATTCCTGGCTTTACTGGGGGGGAAGGAAGGAAGCAGAGATTACTGAGGTTGAAAGACTTCTATGTTGAAATTCACCAGTTTACTTATTAATGTTGGCCATTTGTTTAGTTACAGGAAAGGTAATGTTTAATACCAGCGATTGACTAGTTTGTAATTTTTTATGCTTTTGTTGTTGTTTAAAATTAACATACAAATCTGTGTGTCTAACATTGCAAATTTAATTAAAGTGGAAGAGAAGAAATGCAGTCTCGGAATACACCAATGTTCATCTGTAATAGCTGCGTCCATCTTGGGTACGCAAGTTGGTCATTGATTCATAGCTGCTGTTAGATACCAGAGTACAGTGCTAAAAGATTCTCTTGGAAGCCAGTTTGCTAGACTCAGTTGGTAAAACTGCCTAAAATTGCAAAGAATAGTGTTACAGTGGCCAAAGATGCCTGAAATTACAAGGTTTAGGACATGTCTGATTAGACTGCCTGTTTCATTAAAATAAACAAAACCCCAGATATATTGTTTATTTCTGTATGTCCCCAGAAATCCACGGAAGTGCTTAGAAGCGTGGTAGAAGCTAGGCAGGTATTTGGCTAATGCACTCCCAATCAGTGCAGGAAGGAGATTCTGTACCCATCAGAAGTGGTGCTGAGATGTTAATGGAATTACAGTACCTGCATGAGCAGTGTCGGGGTGAAAGGAGAAGTCAGATTCATGGCATTCAGGTTGCTACTGCTGCCGAAGAACTGTGCCTGTGGAAGCAGATGTTATGTATACCTCACTATCTAGACAGTGAGCTACAAGAAATAGCTGAAATTAATTTGTTTTACTGGTTTAAGGGTTTGTTTAAATCTTTGAAAAAGCACTAGTTACAGCAGAGAGTTAAACTTCGAGTTAGACATATCACTTACTGATGTTAAATAACCAGATTATATCTTTTTTTTTTGGGTACGGATTCCTGACTGACATGGTTGATTGTAAATGGACATTTGATTTAAATACTACGAAGCTTGATGTATGGGAGCAAATTTGATTTCTCCTTGAAAGACTTTGTAAAATTAGGAAGGTTTTATTATTATTCAGATTGTATTCAGTCAAATGCATCGCTTAGCATTGTTTCGTTTCTGCCTTACTATGTGTTAAGGACTAAATGCACCCAGTATGTATGGTCCGCATCATTTTCCAGAGGATGAGCACAGTATTAACTGTCTTCATTCGATACTACTAAGATGTTACTTTGACTCTTTATTTAAGGTGCTAAAATCCAATTGGTTTGGATAAAAGGTCCTAATTGAACCATAATGGTTGATATTGTGGAACACTTCCGTATCAAAAGTGTGAAACTGTGGGACTTACTGAGTGCTTGTTCTAAAATAAAAGTTGTCACTAAACTTACTGTTTCACTGAGTAGTAAAACCTTTTAAATAATTATGCATTTAGTTAGGTATTCAGGAGACAGACTAACTCGTCTTTGGTTTCTGTAAACAAGGATTGAATGGTGTTGATGAAGGTTTTCCAGGTGATCGGTTTTATTTAATTTTAATTAGATTTGTATGAATTTAGGATTAAAGAAACCTTTCCGGCCACACTTCATTAAACAGGTCTATGCCTGTTTGAGTGGAAGAACGAAAATCATGTATTTCTTCAGGTTTAGCTGTATTACTTTTATATTCTACTATTAATCCAAATGTGTAGCGGAGTTGAGAAGAGTCTCTGTAGATACTTGGGTATCACATTGCATTGAGGAGAGATGTGCAGTCCGTTTCTTGTTCATAACTAATTTATCATTTTGCCAAGTGTTCTGGGTTTGCACCTCCCTTTTTTTAAAGAATATTGCTTCTCGTCTCAAGCGATGAACAGAGGTCAGATGAAACTATAAATATGAAATATTAAGGAGTTTTTTCTTTTTACAACTTAAATCTATGGTATAGAGATGACAATCAGATTATGATCAGAAACCTGTGGAAATGCAGTTTCTGTAGTTTTCCTAATGTTATGAACACAAACGTGATTTCTTTTTTGATCAATTTGGGTTCTTCCTGAGCTAAATAATCAAGCAATGCAAAACAGTATACAAATAATACAAAAGCAAATTAGCCAAGGAGGGGAAACAATTACGACACTACAGCTATAGCCCAACTTTTGAGAACAGGTAGTTGGTTTAGTCGTTTATAAATCTACATTTACAGTAGGCTGGGTCTTTTCCCTGTATAATTAAAAGGAGGGGGCAGCTTTGTTGAAATTCCATCCAGCTGATTGACTGGGTTTTTCGCTTGGTTGGTTGGAGTCACTAAGTTGCCTATGCCAAATGCAGGCATGTTTTGTGCCACATAGCGTATTTAAATTTTCAAGCGTTCAGGGTTTTTTTTAGGTTTTTAATAGGAGTAATGACTTGAGGGTTGCTTTTTGATACAAAATACTGCCTTCAAGTAGCTTTTTTGTCTTCCATTCTTCTTCTCCCTTTTTCCTGCTTTACACTCAACAAATAATTAAACATGCTGGTAAGTACAATGTGGTAGTCTGGCAGGAACTTCTTCACCAGCCAGTCTTCCTCTGGTATCGCAGTTCATAACTCTACTTCAAAAGCACTTACGTTCCTTTTTAAAGCTAGTAAATCCTTGAGACCCTAGCACTTGTCCTGGTGCAGTGTTACATGAGCAGATGTTATTTTGTAATGATTTAAGAGGCCCGAACACAATATCACTTCATTTATATATACACATAAATAGCTTCAAAAAGTTACTTAAGGTCATGAATGTTCTGTAAGTACCCCAGCAGATGTTGGATTCCACTTTATAGGTGGTGTGCATTTGAGTCTCATCAGACTTCCAATAACAGATTTTTGGCTCAACATACAGGCAATTCAGATACAGTTTTTAAAACTAATTTCAACAAGCAGGGTGGTGACTATATCTCTTACTATTTCCTTATTTTTTCAGTACTACACAGAGGTACGTGGAAAAACATCTGCTTTCCTGACAGCTAAATGTCTGCTGCCTGTCTCCACTCAGCTTAGTGGTTTCTCTGTTCTAGTGCCATAACTAAGTTTTCTAAGTTACCATTAGATTTTTAACCCAGTTCTCCTTCTCAGAAAAAACAGTTTCTCAATGATACTACAGAAGATGTGGTTGCACTTTGCAAAAAATTTCCAATGACAATCAACTTTTTATGTAATAAAATACTGGAACAAATATCTTGGGTTGTTTTTTTTTTAAAGATAATGCTAATGTATACTGTGTGCCTTATCCATTTTACTGAAAAAAAAAAGAAAAACCCAGTTGAAATTCCTACGTAGAAGAGTACAAGTGCATCCCCTGCTCTTGAGGGCTTAACTTCATCAAGCAAGTAAGTAGGAGAGTTGACAAATTGCTAGGACGGGGGCTCAGAAAACCTGAGAAGTACCATGTGCAGTAAATGAATGAATGCTGGCGGTTGAATTTATAACAAAACATCCTCACCAACTACTAAATCTCACTAATTAGAGATGCAAGCAGTGTCCATATTCATTTAAAAAAGATGAGGATTGCAGGTGCCGTCATTATTACATTGCTAAGATTTATATGTGATGGTGCAATGAAGTTTCCTGTAACACCACGCCTATTACCAGTTTCTCTCTGCCTGCTGCACAGTCTTTCTCTTTGTACGCGTCATTTGCTAGCAGGGAAGTTCATGGTTCCCATTTCTTTTGCACCTTTCCTTAGTTTGTCTTTAGTTTTGTTGCTGCACTTACTACTAGGTGAAGTACCCATTTTTTAAATTCTATCTTTAAGTCTGTTATGACACACTTACAAACTACAACAGGATTTCTGATCTTTACTTGGGTGGTCAAAGCATTTCTCTTCTCTGAACAGTCAGGTCGCTCTTGACTTCAAAAAGACTCTTCATTCCTGTCATTGTTTCTGAACTCTTTCAATTTGCTTGTGAAAAGGAAATCGTAAATTAAAATACCAGTTTGTTAAGATACAGAACAGCCTACTTTTGTCTGATATTTGGCCACTGTTCTCGTGGGGTTTATAGTAAGGCTTGGAAATTATTTCCAGTCTTTATCTGTGGTTCATTTCCTTTTCTATTCAGGGAGTAACAGTGTTTGCCTTTTCCAGAGGTTTTTTTTTTTTTAATTGCATTGGACGTTTATAGAAATTCAAAGACCCCATGCCTGAATAATGGGGATGTCCCTGTTTTCACAAATGCCTGTTTCATTGGTACTCTCATGTTTCTCATTCTTAAGATTGCCATCCTACTATGTTGATGATACACTTTTATTTGATAATTCTTACTCTGGGATAAAATTAACTATTTTTGCATATCACTATTTTCTGTCTTTCATACTGCGCCATTTTAACAGGGACAAAACCCACTGGATTCAGGTAATATTAAACTGCCAGAAGGTTAGAGCTGCTTGGATTTATGAAGGAAAAACACTCGACTTGAATTTTGTGGTGGTGGTGTTTCTTCTCCTCCAAGTAGAGAAGTCAGGTAGTGTGAGGGGGTTGGACACACCATCCAGCTCCAGCAGAAGAGGTCTGTGCAGGGTAGTTTCTGATTAGTATTTAAAAGGTTGATGTAACACATTGCAATCAGGCATTATATGGCACACCAGCCTTTATCCAAAGACAGCTGCTAAATGCTTTTTTTCTTTCCCGTGTGATGCTACTTAATAGACCAGTATTTTCACTGTTGATACTGGTGTCAGCTGGCGATCAGTTATCAGTGGCATTGTATCAATGGATTTCTGTAATACCAAAAGCAGATCTGTTAACCATCACTGAAATTAACAGTAATTACTGTACTAAAGAATTTTTTTTAAAAATTGGGGATATTTTTGAGGTTTTTTTTAATTATTACACAGACATTGGTATTTTGGGAGGGAGAAATGGGACAGCTAAAGGAGCTTCAGCCTCTTCCCCATCTTACTGACAAAGCCCAGCAAATAATGTGTTCCTGCAGCACATGGTCTTGCTGCGCAGCCTCTCTGTTAAGAAGAGGACAGTGCTAACAGCAGAGTCTTTCCATCTTGTGAAGAGCTATAATGCATCCCGTTAGGATGCCTTTGGACACCGCCGCTCCGAAACAGCAGCACAGAGGTGACCTGTGTCAGGGTTCCTGACGTTCAGGTGTCTCGG